AGCTCCATTACAGCTTCACACACATAAACATACTCAATTATGAAGTGATCCCAATGCCCTCTGACACTGAAGGTTATTAGAAATGGAAACGACATGTGTTCTGGGCTTGCTGATGGCAGGAAACCATTAGCCTCGGGGACACTTCACTGTTCCCCAAGTGTACTGTGCACATTTCCTCAAGTAGGACATTTATAGACAAATGTTGGCTGATCCATGTGGACAGCCGGTGGGCAACATCTACAGCTTCCTATCTCTGAATCTCACTTGAGGACAGTAAAGGGGACAAAACCACACATTTATCACAGGATTGTTGGGATCCACTGGGATTGATCTAGTGCCCATCATCATGTCCCAGCTACTATGATAAAGGTACTACAATTATCCCCGGCCAGCATAGGTGCTAGGCAGTATGGTCCCAATTTACAGACAGAAGACTGAGGCTTGCTGAGTGAGGGTCAGAAATGTGCTTGCAGACAGCCGGGAGCCAGAATTTAAATCTGTGGGGTCTGGTAACGCACACCATGCTCTCAACAGAGTCTGCCTCAAGTCTGGGAGGGGACAGATGTTAACCCACATACATTGTTGCCAAAGAAATGATAGAATGCCCTAAGTGCATAACAATGGAGAAACAGAGGACAAGTAAATTACAATTAAATAATATGCCTTTAAATTTGTGATTGGTCAGGCTCTTGTACCAGGCAAGATGCGAAGCTAGTTGCAGGCTCCCTGCTGCAAATGCAAACACAAGCGTGGGCCTGTCATGCCTCAAGCTGCAAGGAAACAGTGAGCAGCTCCTGGGAAAGTTCTGACTCAGAAACCTGCCATCCCTCAATGCACAGGGTCATTCCGTCCTTGGAAAATACGATACATACTCATTCAAAATGCTTTATGTTTACAAAGACATAGGAGTTAGATCCTAGATACAAATCATAATTAAACAATTGTTTAACCTCCATGGATGTCCAACAAACTCATTAGCATTTCTTCACTGTCTTTGGTGTGAAGGACTCTTGCACACACTGCGGGTCACTAGCGTCCCCTTCCTTCTCAACCTGAATTCTGGCAGCTCTCCTCCAGTCATTATGATAACCAAATGCATGTTCACGACTTTGATCCCGACGGTGCCTTGAGAGTTGTGTCACACCAGTTAGGAAGCATTACACCAGGTCAGTGATACTATCCCCCCCTCTCTCTCTGTCTCTCTGTCTCTGTCTCTGTCTCTCTGTCTCTCTCTCTCTCTCACACACACAATGTCCTACAGTTCTATGAAATGATCATCCATCACATTGCATTAAATGCATTTAGAATTAGCACTAATTAGTAAAAACAAACCCAGGAAGCCTCTCTCATGGAGACTGAAGGTTCGAGAAGAATAAGAAGCAACTCTACATGGGGAATGAGCTGCTGGCCCTGGTCACTGAATGTCTTTTTCTGCCGCCACGATTTGAAGCCACTAAGACTGATACCAGGATGGCGGGAGTTAAGCTCAGAAGTCTGGAGAGGAAAGGACAACAGTTACATTCCAGGGCTTTTGAGTTCTAATCAGCCATGTGGATTTATTTCTGGTGATTTTTCCAAACATAGGGTTCCTCTAAAGGGATTTTATTATGATTAGAACCACCTATGCTAATCCAGAATGGCCTTAAGAGTGTGATTCCATCTCATGCTGTCACTTGTATGCTTTTAATGGGGGCCAGAAAGAATTTTATCATGGAAGTAGATAGTGGGGTATTCTAGTTCATTCAACAAACATGTGAGCTCCACAACTTGCCAGACCTTGAGTTCAGATGGAAGAACAGGCTCATTTGATACACTACGTCTTTACTAAATCCATGTGATGATTCTAGAATTTCTCTGGCCCAAATAGAGACCATCTTCATTTAATTAGAACTGTCTTTGGCCTTGAGTTTGACAATCAGGACACCGTGCTTGAAGCCCAGTGGGTGGTCACCATGCTTCTTGGCTCAATGGTCCAACCCATTAAAAGTTAAGTAGATCACAATTTCCGAAAGTTTTTCCTTCCAAAAATTTACATTTTCAAGCATCACTGCATTTCCAAGATTTTAAAAATCCAGTAACTAAAGATACAGGTCCAAAAAAGTCAATTTCACCTTCTAAATTACATTGAAAATGATATAAATTGAGGTTTTTGTAATTCTGAATGTTTAAGTCTTGGATAAAATGCAGCAATTAAAATAATATCCCCAGAGGTCAATATACTTTGTTCATTGCTACACAAGGAGAGGTCGGGAGAGAAAAAGAACACAAGCAAAGCACGAACAAGGCCCCTAACTCAAGTAATAGAGCTCCCAGTCCAGATAGGGTGGTCTAGATGGAGGGACCATGGAGGTTTTGTTTGGTTTGATATTGACCTGTTCACTATGTGCTTGGAAGATAATTTAAATACTGTCAAATTTATCAAACAGCATTTCATTGTGTAAGTGTGTTGGCTATGTCTGAGTGTGCAATGGACAACATAATATAAACATAAATGTGGTTCTTTATGGTCTTGAAGGACCTCAATGGAGAGTTGATCTCACCTGCACATCAAGTGCAGAACAAGAAGTTGGTGTGAAATTGACCAGGTTTTAAAGTACTTGGAGTGAGCCTGTCGACAAAGCCACTCAGGCAGCTGCCTGGATGCATTTGGAACTAGTGTCCAATACTATTTTGTCACACTGAGTCCCTACCCCACTCACAAGGGCATTCCTAAAAAACCACACACCATCTGGTCACTGTTCTCAAGCAAAGAGACCAAGAGGACCATTGTTAAAAAGCCTTTTTTTCCTGGTATGGTTTTGTGTATTTGCACATCTGCTCTGCCCTCAGCTACCTACTTGAATACCAGGTTGGTGACTTCAGATTTCAGATTTGGTCATGATAAAGCCATGTAAGGTCTAATGCAGAATATGCTGTGATAATAACTGCACGCATTGAGGGTTCCCTCTGTGCCAGGCACAGTGCTAAGCTCGCGACACATTTTCTTTCATTGAATCTTGGTAACACCATGCAAAGAAGATGCTGTCACCCCTGTTTATAGATGAGGACGCCAAGGCACAGAGTGGTAAAAAGGTGGCCAAAGTCATAAGGTCATGGCAGGGTTGGGATTTGAACCCTAGCATGACAGTCAAGAGACAGTTTGATCAGTAGCCTTCCAAAACATCCAGCCTACATTTTGTTGGCGTTACAGAAATAAATGGAATATTCTAATCTTCCCCACATACATTTCATCCTGACATTTGAACTACACTAGGTACCAGTCCTTCCCTCTGAAATATTCACCCCAAGCCTTCAAGGTAAAGTTGGTCTCATCGCGCACGTGTGGATGCTATGATTTTGTCCTCCCGAAGTTAATCCTGAGAACCACCCTCCTCCACCACCACCACCATTCAGCTGCAGTGATGCCAGCTGCTTCCAAATACATTTTTTTAAATCTCCCCTGTATACAAATCCAGAAAGTATGTGCAAGATGCATTTGTCCACTTTAGGGACATCACATCACGTGCAAAGCTGCACCCCAGCTTTCCCAGCTTATGATATTCACACTACCAACAATTAAAATTTTGAAAGTCATTTTCCAAAGTGCATTCAAGGTCTTTATTATTTGTTCATGCCTAAGCATAAGGCTTTTTTTTCTTGTTGTGGAAGCTATACCTCTGTCTGGATCGATATTGCTACCGGGCAAAATGTTGAATAAGATAGTATCTCACAAAACATCACAACCGGGGGTGGGGGGGAATCCCTTTATTCAGAGACATATTTAGGCCTACAAATAGAAAAGAATTTGTCAATTTTCCCTCCAACAACATTGTAGTAGTCATTTTTGTCTTCACCATCACATATCGGCTGACATCGTAATTTAATTATAAATTTAACACGTTTATTATGTTGTCCATGTAATGTGTCCAAGAAAAGGAAGGATCTTCTTGTTTCTTTTTAACATCTTATGAACCACATAAGTCATTCTCTCTCCCTCCCTCACTCCTGCAGGTGCCATGCCGTGAGCAAAATTACTCAGATACTGTGGTGAACAAGACAGCCCTGGCCATACCGTTTACAGCTTTGTGACTTCTATACACAGATGCTGGGGACCTTCACAGACAGCATGACATTAACACTAAAGGACAGGATGTTGGGGCTGGGGAGGATCTGAGTTCGTCCCATGCAGGGTCCTTATCTGCCCAACAAGGACACCGAGCACCAGAGAAAGGAACCTTCTTGCCCGAGATGAAGTAGCTAGTTAGCACATGTGGGAAACTACAGTCCAGTCCTTCCAATCAAGTGTCCTTCTTCCCTGTCTGGCTGATTTCCTTCAACCCATATTATCAGTATTTTCTTCACTCCATGAAATAAAAAAAATACTGGGGCACCTGGGTGGTTTAGTCGGTTAAGCGTCGACTTTCGCTTAGGTCATGATCTCGTGGTTCGTGGGTTCGAGCCCCGCGTCGGGCTCTGTGCTGACTGCCGGCTCAGAGCCTGGAGCCTGTTTCGGTCTGTGACTCCCTCTCTCTCTGACCCTTCCCTGCTCACGCTGTCGCTCTCTCTCTCTCCTAGAAATAAATAAAACATTAAAAAAAAAAAGAAATAAAAAAAATACCAATCTTTTGAAACACATTCATGTGCTGAGGAAGAGAAATGTTACGCCCTCCTCGTTGGCAATCCTTCCCCGGATTCCCTCCAGCAGCTGGCACCTTCCATACACCTTGGGGAGATCTGTCCTCTGCCTACTTCTCTGTTTCCTGATGAGCAGCCCCATTTAGTCTACAGCTACCTGCAGTTTCCCAAAAAGGCCAGGGTCTCTCACTCTTTCACACAGTTGGCTTGCCAGATACAAACCCCATGTCGGCGGCACAGCAGCCATGCAGAGACACCAGGAAGACACAGTTCTTGCTGGAGGCGGAGCTCATATGTAAATGTGTTTGTTTCCCATTGCCGATGTAACAATAACCATGAACGTCGCGGCTTAAAACAACACAAACTACTATCTTCTAGATCCAGGGGCCTGAAGTCCAAAGTGGGTCCTCCAGGGCTGACATCAAGGCACTGACACAGCCAAGTTTTGGTGGAGGCTCTAAAGCAAAACCCATTTCCTTGACGTGTTCACTGGCACGCACTGGCTCATGGCTCCTTCCATCTTCAAATATGGCAGCCCCTTCTAGTCTCTCTCTGACTCTGACAACTGCTCCTTTGTTCAGTCTCTTTCTCTGTCACCCTCTGTCTCCGTCTTATCAGGACCCATATGATTATATCACGCCTGCTCAGAAAATCCAGGATAATCTCTTCATCTCAAGATCCTTAACCACACCAGGTAAGCCCCTCTGGCCATCTAAGATCACACATCAAGGGTTCTGGGGAGTAGGATGTGGCCATCTTTGGGGCCATTATTCTGTCTGGCATGTCTGCCCGTCATTGATTATTTTTCCCTCTCTGTCTGCTTGAATACTCCTATTAAGCCTCAACCCTCCAGATCAGCCACCATTACCTGACCCGCACGTAGCTGGGTAAATGAACTGGTTACCTCTTCTCTATACTACTTTGTATGTATCTTTCACATAGCACGTATCATATTATAATATCATTGGCTTGTCCCCCTTACCGAACCGTAAATTCGATGGGAGAAAGTTCTTAGGCCCGTGCATTCATGCAGCCCCATAAGTTAGTATACAGATTTATGGGGACTATCTCAACAACAACTATGTGGGTAATGAATAGATGGAAGAAAGGAGGGATGGGTGAGGGGTGGATAGCATGGACCACTGGTAACATGCTGTGATTTAAACTAGATCATATGCATACATGGAGAATTATTATGTTGGGTGTCTGAAACTAATATGTTACCTATCAATTATATCTCAAGTTTAAAAATGTAGACTATATTGAAAATTATCAAAATATCTCAATGTGGGAGAGTTATTAAAATATTCTTCTTAACTTTTCATCACTTCAAACTTTAATAGGCCTTTGTGTTCTTAAGTTTTACTGGGTATGTAGCCCTTGGGAAGCACTATGGGGAAGCCTTTGTATGTATCCCATACAAAGAAACTGCAGTTTAAGCAAGTTAAGGGGCCCAAACATGGAGGAGGAAGTGGGAGGAAGTCATGGACTTCAACCCCCCATCTTTGCTCTTATACAAGAAAATGACTGGAACTGAGGATCTCAGTAAAATTATTGCCTGTAGTTTCTGTTCTAACTTGGATTATTATTGAAGAGAAGGAGAATTTTTCTAGGTCTAAAATTCCTTAATTCTCTTAAAAGCCATGTCTCCCACTGCCTATGCTTTCATGGAGGCACGTTCCATGTCATTGTTATGGCTGCCCTTTATAAATGTACTTCAAGATGAACCTTTGCTGTGAAATTTCTTTCCTTCTGAAATACAGTAAAATTTCCACCCTCTTTCTGGTGTCGCAGAACACGTGGTTTATATATTCATAAAGGGAGGCTCTCTTGCGGGAATTCCTGCAGAGTCCAAGGGAGACAGAGGCCCTAGGGCTTAGGATTGGGATTAAGTGGTTCCTTGAAGTTGGTACAATTCTGGGATAAAGCACGAGACCCAAAAGTGCCTCAGTCCAATTCCATACATACACACACTTACACCTGGTTACTTGAAAATAACAACAAACCATTACTTGCTAGATGAGGGCTTCAGGAAAAATAAAAGACAAACTTAAGGGCTCCAAAGTCTACTTCTAGGTGCTCCTGGATCAGTGATTAATTCTACATTTGAAACAGAAATTTCCTGCATTTCAAATGAGTTAAGTGGTATCAGCCATAACACCTTCACCTTTTATTTTGTTTTCCTATTCTATTTACAAGCTGTCCTTGGCTTCTGTAAGCATCACAACAAAGGTAATTAGGGCTACAGTTTATTTACCACAACCAGACATTGCTTAAAGCTTCAGATCTGAGAAATGAAACCAGGTGATTCCATAGGCTCAAAATTTCATTTACTGCCATCTTCAACAAATAGAAAATCTCAGACAGTAAAGTGTTTTTCCAGCGTCTGATACAAGCTGAAGACTTTCCAATCAGACATAAACACTTTTGAAGCCGGGAGGCAAGGGGTAACAGATTGTATCCATCAGTTAAGTTGTAGCCTACACAAACATGTAGTTATTAAATAGCTTTCCTCTTAACCAAGAGCCACTTGGGGATTCTGTCCAGGAAATATGTTATCATCTTCTTGGGCATCAATTACTACCTGATAAATACAATTGGATTTTCTCAGCTGGATAGAAAGGTTTTGCAACAATGGACTATAAAAAGAAAAGTAAACAAGCTCCTTACAAGATAATTTAAAAGCAGTATTTATATGCCAAAGTAAAATGGAGTATTAAAGTGCCATTCTCTGTCATTAAAGATAAAGATCAATTTTGAATGGCATGTTAGGTGCAAGTGGTAATGATACACATCATATGTTCACTCAACCTGTCTTGTTTCCCTCCCAAATACACAGTAAGGTACATTTCCAACCCTCAGTTGAGTTAACATTAAGTAAGGTCATGTGATCGAATCTGGACAATGGAGTATGGACATAGGTGACAGAGGCCACATCCTACCTGGCAATAAACTCCCTCACAGCCTCAGTATTATGTCTTCTTATTTTGTAACAAATTGGGAAGTCACATGTTGACCATGACGAACAGAGCCGGGGTCCCCAAATGTCTAAATGACATAATGGAGCTGAACTCCCTCCCCTTGCCCTGCCTCTGACCACATGAGTCTATGGTGTAATGAAGCAATAAGCTTTTACTAATATTCAGTTGCTGATATTTTAGGTGTTCTTGTTACAACAGTAAGCATATTCTGAATAACCCAGACCTGAATTATCTGGGTGATTCGTACACTGTGTTTACATAAACCTAGTCTAAATGAAGCAAACCAGAGATTTCTTATTCCTTGAGAGAAATCACCATGGGTAGGCAGCACAGTTATGACCCACCTTCAAAAACATAAAATAAAGTTCATTTTCCTTATGTTCTTACTCTAGTTATCCCTGTATTTCCTAACAAAAGCAAAAAGAAAATGTAAACCTAACATAAGCACATTATTCACCTTTATACTTGGTTCAAATGTAATCAGAAGATAAGTGACTACATTAAAACCACACTTTAAAAGTCTCTCTGATTACAAAAGCAATACAGTTTATTGTAGAAAAAAGAAGAAATACACAAAAATGGAAAGGAAGAACTAAAAATCACCCATTATCATACCACCCATTAGTAACTACTATTCACAAGTTTGTACAAACCATCCTGGTCTTTCCTCTGTGTACACATGTGAGTATATAAATACATATTTAATTTTACAAATTTGTAATCAAACACTTTCAATAATGCCCTTAAAAGTGTTTTCAGTGAATTAGAATGTTTCTTCTACAACATCATTTGTAAAACTGCATATGAATATACTTTGTTTACAAAACCTCTTACTATGAATAGTTACATTATTTCAAATGCTGTCCTTAGCAGAAGCAATGCTAAAGTAAATAAACCTGTAGAGAAATCTTTGCTGCCTCTTTAATTGCATTTTTTAATGAATTCCTCAGGCTGAAATTGATGAACTTGAGAATAATGACTTTCTGTAAAGGTTTTGACACAAATTGCCAAATTATTCTCTAGAAAGGCTGTGCCAATTTATGTTCCTAACAGGTTTGTCGTGTTCTTCACATTGATTCCTGTACCTCCCAACAGATTATGCCCAAATGCTATCTATGTGTACCTGTTTATTTGCATCTTTTAATAATTTAATAATTGCATTTTCCCAGCTGATCTTTTGTGGCATATAAAAAGACTATTAATCATTGCCTTTTCATTTCCATTGTAATTAATGGCATGGACTTTAGGGTTCCCTTAGGGTAGGGTGTCTACTTTAAGCATTTAGATGATAGGAATAACTAAGAAACAACTCTCAATGAATTATTACAATCACTCACTAAAACCTTACATAGAATGCATTGAGCATAAATATCAAAGTACCGGATAAGCAATTAATACAATTCAGTAAAATGATAAACTAGCAAGGACACCTGAAAGACTCAGTTGGTTAAGTGTTACTCTTGGTTTCAGCTCAAGTCATGATCTCAAGGTTCATGAGTTCAAGACCCACATTGGGCTCTTTGCTTTCAGCACAGAGCCTGCTTCGGATCCTGTGTCTTCTCTTTCTGCCCCTCTCCTGCTCTCTCTCACTCTCTCGAGGAAAAAAAAAAAAGATACGCTAACAGAGCATCAAATACATTTTCAAAAATCTACGTATTTAGATGAATCTCATTGACATAGACTGAAACTTGCTCACACTTAAGATGTCAAGGAGCTTCAGCTAGCATTTATTCAGCACAACTTATCTGCCTAGTAATTCCTAACTGACATCTCATCTTTACAACTGTTTTCCCCTACTTTGGATACATTAATTGGAAGTCTACTGACATCCAAACACAACCCAATAAAAGACCACATGACCGACTTAAGCCTGGTTCTTTTTTCTCTATTTGACTATACGACAGGAAGATAACACTAGATAAATTTCTGACTCTTGGAGTAATTTATCCCCTGATATAGCTGCATAGTGCAGTTGCTCAGGTTGTGAACTGCACAAGGGTAACATATCTAATAGGTTGTAATTCACATCTAGCTATTTGTTTCTTTTACTCTGACTTCATCACCTTCATAGATGAGATTTTATGAGACAATTTTAAAAAAATGGCAGTGAATTCTTTTTCTAATGAAATTAACAGAATAATTTTCCGTCAATTGGAAAGAAAATGTCTCAGGAAGAATTACCATTTACAAAAGCACAGGAAGTCATCATGTAGCAGCAGTTTTGTCCTCAGTGGCTTCCGTAGTTTGCAGAAGTGATCAGACAAAACATTGAACAAAATTTGCATTTGATCGTGAACGTGGATACCCGTACCACAAACAAAAGCTCAGTCTGGTGGCGCCTGGGGGGCTCAGTGGTTAAGCATCCGACTTCGACTCAGGTCATGACCTCGCAGTTCCTGAGTTCGAGCCGTGCAACGGGCTCTGTGCTGACAGCTCAGAGCCTGGAGCCTGCCTCAGATTCTGTGTCTCCCTCTCTCTCTCTGCCCTTTCCCCACGTGTGCTCACTCTTTCACTCTCAAGAATAAATAAACATTTAAAAAATAAAAGATAAAAAACTTGTCTGTGTCACCTGTTAGAAATCTATATTGGATACTCTACCCTTCTGCTCCTCCAATCATTTAAAGGACAAGTTTGGGCCATACGTTTACTATACAAAAATAACACTTTTTCCTTTGTCTCTCAATCCTGTAGTTGGTACAAATGTCTATATTCCATTTTCAGTATCATCATCATTTTGGTTTTTTTTTCTCATGATTGAATTGTAAGACGGGGCTAATTAACTCTCATTCTATGGAATAGCGCACAGTCCTCCAAGACTTCCCTCATAACAGGGCAGCCAGTAAGCTTTTACCACCTAAAAATTCACTCACTGCTCAGGTGTCTAATAGATATTGGCACTCCAGTATTTACTGTTCTTTTTAAGAAAAAGAAATGTAACTTTCTACAACTATATTCACGAAATCCACTTTAACTTTTGTACTTGAGTATGAGAGGGCCAGTTTTCTGGAAAAAAAAAAAGAGTAAAATTCATGCAGTATCCTAGGGGAGCTTATATTTTCCAATTTTAATTAACATGTAGATAGTCTCCCAGTAAAGCCACCAGAATGGTGTGTAACTTATTCAAATACTGAACTGGAAAAGCATAATTAAAAACTGTAATCACATCAGGGTACTTGGGTGGCTCAGTCAAACTTCAAAGTGTCCATCTTCAGCTCAGATCATGAGTTCTAGCCCCACGTGGGGCTCTGTGTCCACAGCTCAGAGCCTAGAGCCTGGTTCAGATTCTGTGTCTCAGTCTCTCTCTGCCCCTCCCCCACTTGCACTCTATCTCTCTCTCTCAAAAATAAATAAACATTAAATTTTTTTAAAAAGAACTATAATCACATCTAAAATAGGGATGTTAAGAAGCACTACAGTAAGCTAGCTAAGGCAGAATCCATAATAGTCCATTCAACTGTTAAGTTTCAATACAGAGGTACTTGTATTTTATCAGCATTTAGAAAAAACCAAGTGGGATTTTCCTTTGGCATTGTCATCCAGTAAGTATTAATAAAAAAATTAACCAAAATTTTCAATTCAGTTCATCCAAAATCACTCAGCATTTGTAAGCAGATTAGTAGATGGTGGTATTTTTTTTTTTTTCTGTGGCTGCCTTTCAGATGTTGGTCAGAGGGCTAGAGTGGAGAATTTAGTCAAAACCATTTTACGTGGTCAAAGAAATTGAAGAGGCAATAGAAGTTTCAGCTGTGCGGTAACAGAGTCTGAAGAAAAGTAGAGGACCCTGCCCCACATGCATTCTCTCAATTCGTAAAAATCAGAACTAGAAGTTCAAAGCCATTTGTTTCTGTCTGAAATTACGGGATACCCAAATGTCCTTTTATTCTCTGACATTAATATGCTCAAAGAAAGAGTGTGATTCCTCTCTTCTCAGGATATGCTGGCTGATTTTAAGGATGCTTTTCTGTAGCAAAGTCACAGACACGATCTTAAAGAAGTCTATAAATATTAACTATGGAGGCATATTACACACACAGACATTAGTAAGGACCCTCAATATCTGTAAGTCTGTAGCTCTCCTTTCCTGGACTCTTGAAGAATCAAGAATCAGAACACTGATATCACTGAAACTCAAGCAAAGTCTTTCTGATTTCCATCCTGTAAGCTCAAGAGCAACACATCCATGTGTTATTTATCCTTGGGGAGGATTAATCTAATTTTGATTTCCTCCCCCTGTGTTTGCTTTGGAGGTTTTCACATACATTGCTGAAACTAACTAGAACTTGGCAGTGAGAAGGCTGTTACGTGATGTATACCTCCTTCAGCCTCCCTCGGCCAACTTGGTGAGGCTGTCCATGGAGGAAGGAGAAAGGCTTCATCTCCCATCCGGAGGCAAAAGACTGGAAAGGGAGAAAGTTGAGGTATTGTGTTTTTCACTGTGACATTGCAGAGAGCTTGTCACACTTCATGTTGCAGGTGCATGGCACCTTTCATGCTATCACCTGTCTTAGGACACAAAGAAGGAAAGGGGATCTTCAGGCCATAATCAGACTGGAAGAGAAGTGAAAGTTCAAGATTTGCCACTGTCCTTGTTTCTCCCCTGGTGCTGGTATTAAATAAAAAAGTTGGGAGCACCTGGGAGGCTCAGTCAGTTAAGCATCCAACTCTTGGTTTGGGCTCAGGTCATGATCTCATGGTTTGTGGGATCGAGCCCCGCATCAGGTTCTGTGCTGCCGGAGTGGAGCCTGCTTGGGATTCTCTCTTCTCCCTCCCTCTCTGCCCCTCCCCCACTCATTCTCTCCCTCTTCCTCTCAAAATAAATAAATTAAACTTAAAAAAAAAGGGGGGCGCCTGGGTGGCTTAGTCGGTTAAGCATCCGACTTTCACTTAGGTCATGATCTCACGGTTCGTGGGTTCGAGCCCCACATCGGGATCTGTGCTGACTGCCAGCTCAGAGCCTGGAGCCTATTTCAGAGTCTATATTTCCCTCTCTCTCTGACCCTCCCCTGCTCACGCTGTGTCTCTCTCTCCTAGAAATAAAAAAAAAAAAAAAAAAGGTTGGTCAGGGTAGTAGTTCAGAAACTAAATCCACATGGTAGACCTAGGTATATGTTCCTGAGACAAGATATTATACTTTAGTATTTCATTTTGGACTTTGCTACCTTTAAAAAAAATGAAGCTGTTTCCATGTCTTGGCCACTGTGAATAACACCACAATGAACAAGGGAGTGTAAATATCTCTTTGAGGTTCTGATTTCAACTCTTTTGGATAAATACCCAAGAGTGAACTTTCTTGATCATGTGGTAGTTCTATTTTTCATTTTTTGAGGAATTTCCATACTGTTTTCCATTTTACACTTTCGTCAACAGTTCACAAGGCTTCTAACTTTTTTTTATTTTCTGTTTTGATAGCCATCCTAACAAGTGTGATGTGATATCTCATCATGATTTTAATTTGTATTTTTCAGATAAATCGACAAAGAAAATGTTGTGTACACATATAAGTGAATATTACCCAGCCTTGAAAAAGAAGAAAATCTTGCCCTGTGTGATAACCAGGATGAACCTTGTGGATATTATGCTAAATGAAATAAGCCAGTCACAGAAGGACAAACATTGTATGACTGCACTTATGTGAGGTATCTAGAATAATCCAACATGTGGAAGCAGAGAGTAGAATGATGGTTGTAGGCGTGGGGAGAAGGGGAATGGGAAGCTGCTATCCAAAGAGCATAACATTTCAATTACGCAATATGATTCAGTTCTAAAGATCTGCTGTATAACACAGCATCTATAGCTAATTACACTGTATTTATTATACATGTAAACTTTTGTTAAGAGGGTAGATCTCGTGCTAAGTGTTCCTAACACACACGCATGCTCACACACGCGTGCGCGTGCACGCACACACACACACACGCTCACACACGCGTGCGCGTGCACGCACACACACACACACACTCCCCAAACTAAAACATGTTCACTGAAAAACAGATGAGAATTAAAGCTCACACCTACTGAAATATCTACTGACACATTCAGTCTCTGTCCTTTCCAGAAACTTCCGGAGGACAGCAACCAGTTTTCATAATCATTTCTCTACCTCAGAAATGACAGCACAATCCTGATGAGCCAGGATCTTACCTACCGATGGCGGTCGTGAAAAGGCCAATGATTCCGCCAACATGAAATCACAACATCTTTCGTATGTTCATTTTCACAAGATCTTAACACCTGCATTCACAAGTTCTGCTTTTACAGTTGAGGACCAGATTCCATTTGTGGCATTTCAACAAAAGAATATAAAACGGCAGATGTGGAGAGCCAGACTAGATATTTCCCAGGGAGCACACATAATGCTAACCTGCTTCCCATGCAGTGAGGATTTGTCATGTGGAACGTTTGCTTGGGGCCAGTTCATGAGTTCTTTCCTACTTGAAAAGCATTCATTGCACCTTTGCCTTGCAGTGCTCACACAAGTGTTTTCCCTGGCCGACCCCTGGTGAACGGCAGTGCCCGGCAGCGTGCTGACCTGTGGTCCTGCTCGTGTAATTGGAGCCTTAAGCAAGAAGCCTTCTTAACACAGACATGAGCGCTTGCAGGGCAAATCACAGATGATGAAATGTTTCACTAGGCGGGAGTTTTTTCCATCTCCATCAGAAATATCTTCAGTAAAACTGTCTGAGATGGGCGCAAAGAACCAGAAAACTTGTTTTCAAAAGCCTGAGTAAGATTTAAAAAAACACAAAATCAGAAATCTTTGAGGTTGGTTTCTAAAAACATAACGATATTTTCTGCCTCTCAAATTACAAGGCCTGGTGAAAACCATGGCATCAATATCCTATTGTATTTTAAGGATCAAAACATGGGGTCACAAAAGGAGTTTTGACCCATCAGATATAAGAACAGAAATGTGAAGATGAAAATTATCTCCAACTCTCCCCTACTTCACTTGTAGATCAACTCATCTGCAAAGATAAAGAACATCTGCAAAGATCATTTCAGCCTTTCTTTATGGGTAAGCAACCTGAGACTCAATGAAGTTAGACACATGTTCCAAATCATTCAGAAAAATGAGAGATCTTCGATCTCTTGACTTTCTGGTTTCCCTCTATGCAATATTGAGGAGTATTAATACAGTTCAAAATATAAAAATGTGGGGCGCCTGGGTGGCTCTGTTGGTTGAGCGTCTGACTTTGCCTCAGGTCATGATCTCACCATTCATGAGTTTGAGCCCCACATCGGGCTCACTGCTGTCAGTGCAGAGCCTGCTTCAGATCGTCTGTCCCCATCTCTCTCTGCCCCTCCCGGGGTTTCACACACACACACACACACACACACACACACACACACACACACTCTCTCTCTCTCTCTCTCTCTCAAAAATAAATTTAAAAAATTTTAAGTATAAAAATGTAACCTCAAGGATCACAGCACAACAGATTATAAGACATTCAAGGGCTATGCAGTTGGCCACTGCACACTATTCCCTACTCTGTGCAGTCTGCTCTGGTGTGCACTAGGTAGGCAAATATGAAAGTTAAGGTCATGTAGGGAAGACAGCCATGGAAGCAAAGAATGACCAAACCACAGGGTAAGGACCTGCCAGACAGCAGGACCTAAGACCACCTTTATGCTCAGTACATGATTATTCCATGCATCAAAGATGCTGAGCGCTGAGTGCTATTTGGGATTGTCAGAGAAGATTTCTCAAAGGCAGGGTTGCCTTGAGTTGTGTCTTAAAGGAGGAATACAAGTTTCTTTGGGTGTCAGAGGGAAGAAGCATCCAGCAAGATGGGAAGAACCCGTGGTCAATCAGCAGGGTGGTGTCCTGGAAAAGCAGATTGCTATGGCTAGTATGATAGAAGGTGAATTTCAAAAGCTAGGTGATGAGCTTATATCACATGTAAAGGAGTTACAGCTTTATCATAAAGCCCATCATTTCCCAATGTGTCATAGAGCATCAGTCTAAGAAGATGATCTACATTAAAAAAAGAAAAAAGTACTATCTCACAGCCCCGAAAGGTCACGGCTTCTGCTATTACACTATAGTTTCAAATATGAAGCAAAAAGTATCATTCTCAACTTTAATTTTACTTTTTTGAGTAATATTTTAGTAAAAATGTGAGTGATATTTACATAGTAGATAACTGATCCATGAGACACAGTTTGGGAAAAGTTACTGTTTGGGACAGAAAATCACTGAGGAGAAATCAGGTCAAACATACACGTAAACAACACTAGATCAATTAAGAATTAAGAACAAGGCCTAAGTGGAGCCACTTAATTCCAGATAACAAGGGGATATCCAGGAAGCAACAGAATTTAGGGATAATCAATAATATGGAATACAGGATTTATAGAGACTCCAAACCCCCAGCTAGAAGCAGTGAGAAGTCTTACAACTCTCTTAGTTATGTTTCCTCCCTTGAGTTCTTAGTGTTGTGATGCCGCTACCATTCTGGACTCCATTCTGGTGGCCAAGTACTATCACCCAAAAGGCACAAAAAGTAATAAAAGAATTATATGATCATATACTTTTGTTTGGTGCAAAAAAAAAACCTAACCCAAGTGAGGGAGTAAACATTCATGTGATAAAAATCAATGGTTCTATTAAAAGCAATCAAAAGCCTTCAAAGAGTGCCCTTAATAAGATGACAGACTGCTCAGGAACCTACAGAACGGGAATGTTGGTAGGTATTTATCCCAACAAATCCACGAGCAACAGTGGGAATGTAAACCCACTGAGAGAAACAGAAGCACCATGCACTAAGCCCAGAGCGATGGAAATGCTTTTCTCTCCAGAGAACACATACAGAAGAAAACCTTACGCTTCAGCTCAATAAGTAAATAGGTTTCTTGGAGCACTTACATAAGCTACTTAAAATGATGAATGGAAGCAATTAAACAGATTTCTCAAAGCCTTGAAGGCCAACACTTTGATCCAAAATATCTAGAAAATTGAGATGATATAGATTGTTTTATTTGTTAAAGTTTCCCAGATAACAAGTTGTATGCTTCCGTTACTTAGTTGAGATAATGTCTAAATTCAGAAGAAAACCTTGCATATACAATATCTTTAACAGACATTACAAAAAATAGCATAAGAATTCTTTTTAAAGTTCAGTGATAGCAAAGATACTTTCAATTAATATGTGAGTAATATAAAACTTAACATTTTGAATATAAAGCATATTTTGGCCCAGTTGCTTTTTTTTTTTTTTTTTAAGGGAATTTACATCCCATGCCAGCCACTTCAACTGATGAATTATTCATCAGATTCCGGATTCATTTTGTGTTCCAAAATAAATGCAGATTGTCTATCTGACCCAGCCTGTTGCAGTTCAAGGAGGTCTTGGCGGGGCGGGGCAGGGAGGGGGGGGAGGAAGGGTGGAAGCATGTTGGTATCAGGTTCATTTATTTAGCAAAGACTAAAAAGACATGGGTTCAGTGCTGTGAATTCCAAGAATCCTTCCAGAGGTCAGTCCTGGAATCTTCATCATCTATTTGAAGGAAATGTTATGATACTGTCAGTCCAAATAAAAATATTCCTGTGAACTAAGAAAACTTAACTCAGACAGATAAAACACGGTAACACGGAAATCTCCCATAAGTGACAAAATATCAAAATTACCTAAAAAAATGATCAATTGCATTTTTGTAGGCAAGAGAGATTGGGGCTAACCTCTAACCCAATGGTGAGAGAGGAGGCGTTATGCTATAGTTTTCCAATTTAATACTTGCCCCCTCCCTATCTTTTCGTGTAAAACCAAAAAACTCTTAGGTAAACTGAAATTCCAAATCGTGTGAGTTATGTTTATGAACTTTGTGGACTGGAGTTCTTTCTTCAAATGACAGGACAGTTCCGTGTGTGAGCCTTCTCTCTAAACAGACAACTCAAGCCGACTGGTTGGATTTCCTAAGTACAATTCCACTATCTCTAAAGATCTTCTTTCACCCTGATCATTGTTTTCAGGGTTTGACACCTTTGCAACAAACTCTTAAGCAGTTAATAGTTAGGTCTGGCCCTTCTCAAAAGCTATTCAAGAACCCTCATCATATACCTATTTGTTTCTACAATGTAAGAGTTGATATCCAGTAATACAACTATACTAGCAAGAAGCTAAATAAAGCATTCTGTGCGCTGTGTACAAATATCCTGATAAGAACCTCATTAACAGTGCCATTATTGAGAATGGAGTGACCCCAGGCCTTGCAAATGGCTTATCACCAGTTCTTACTCAAGTCTTCAAGGTTGCTTCTCTCAATTCCACTTCAAAGCTGAAGAAATGGTGGTGCAGAAAGGCACTGCGCACAGTTAACAAGTACTCGAGCTCTTTTTGAACCGATTTCCAGGACTCTTTAAAGCCTGCATATACAGTTTCCTCCTTCTGTAACATTACAGTGCAATGTAACTGATTTCCTCGACATGCCAGACTCATTTCCAAATGCATGTTCTCACTTGCAAGATAATTTGCTCAGGGGATTGCATGTGTTTCCTAGTATGCTGCCATTAATTCACATATTTTTTTGGACTTCTTTTTGGAATTTCAGTGTTTAAAACATTTAAACACAAACGGCAGCAAACCTCTATTCTTGAAAGATGTGTTTATTGAACACTACAAAAAAAATATCATAAAGAGTCAAGATGTATCAAAAAAAAATGGATGATCAGACTTTGGAATGTTATTTTGGGTCAAAAACGAGGTATACCTAAAAGTACAAGATTTATTTTCTTCTGTGGCTCATAGACTCTGAAGACAATTCCAAGGAGACCCAAAATTGATTAAGCCATGGTAACACTGTTGGAATAAGTGCACGTTCTTACCAAGTTGCCACTCCAATGGACAAAATCCATTCTGAAGAATGACTTGTGCTTAAAACTTTGTTTCTGCATTGCATGATCAATGTTCACCATCCATAGAGTCACTAAGAGTCATACCAACAATTTATTGTGGTAACTAAGTGAGTAACAAATGATTATATTTCTAAAGGACGATAAGCCATTAATAAAAGTGAGGGTATTACTTTTAGTCTGATTATTTAGCATTTTTCTCTAATTTCAATGGCTTTTAAGGGCCCAAGAAATTCCATTCAATATCCTTTTCATATCTCTCAAATCACATTCTGGATCATCTCAAAAATCTGGTGGAACCTTCGAAAGTGCCTGAAAATAGCAACCGAATACATTTTCCAAAGTAGGAAGAAAAAGAACAGGTAGACCACTGACGTCTCAATTCAGGAAAACAAATTACAAAATCATTTTTGAATTTTACAACTTCAGATTTTAAAAGGCCTCCTGGAATGTTATTTCCAGCATAAAAATCTCTCTGTGAAAACAGGTTCATTTTTAGAAACTAAATGAAAACACTATTGATATATCAAATTTTAAACAGGAGGAAAAAGAGATGTAATCCTGGCCAAACGTGTTTAAACCACATAAAACAAACTCTAAGAACATTTTAAAGAGTTAAAGCTCTTTAAAATAATATCTCTTTCAAGCTGTTTTAAGGCATTACTTGCTAAAATTTTTGGAAGAAATCTACTTAGTGACATTAAGATATCTTGAAAATATTCATCTTTGTTTTATTCCAGATAGATAGATAGGTAGGTAGATAGACAGACAGATAGATAACTTACAACAAACTTCACTCTATTCTTGGACAGAGCTATTATACAAATATAGTTCATAAACATATATATACACAAATATATATAATGTACACATGTATATATAGACATATACATGAATACACACACACGTATATATATATACACACACATAGAGGAGCAAATCAGAGCTATCATGTAATCAATTTTATGACCAAGGACAATAAGAGATAAAACAAGATTATTTAAGTGGACTTTATCAAGTTGAACATTACCAATTCATGCATCAGTGTTAAACTTGGGAGGAACATGCTTATATATATATATTAAGGACCAGGGCAGTTTTTTCCCTAAAAGGCAGGAAAGATAAAGTAAAAGTCCCCGTCATTGAAACAAGTCAGAGTTTACTCATGCCATAAATTCAGGCTGCTTATCTTTATAATTTTAAGATAATTTGTATAATAACTATCCTTATCAGCATTAGTAGCTAATGTGCATTCAACAGCTGATTCTTACTCTAACTTCTAAGAAACTGTTTAGGTTTCTCAAGCATAGTCCTCTTTCTCAGGAATAAGAGGCTCAAGTTTCATAAACTAGCACCCTGCAGGCAGTTCACTAGCACTTAATGGGCTTTTCTTTCTTGCTACCCTCTACTCACCTCACACCGTAAACCTGTTTGATTCCATCCAATGAAACTGGTCCAAAACAAATGGATTTAAACTAAGCTTGACTGATCAACACTCTGGCAGTTATTTTTACTATGAAACGGGGAAAAAAAGAACACACTCCAAATGGGAAAAAATGCCTGCTTCGATTTTCTAAGCTTCTATTATTGTGATCCAGTGACTAGAATTTACAATGGCTGATCAATATATCCCCATAAACTTTCTCTTTTATTCGTTATAAAATTAGAACAAAATACAAGAGGGCTACCATTGCACCACAAAGCAATCCCACAAACAAGGTCACAATGTAACTTATAAAAGAAGACTGAGGTTAAAATTGAAGTCTTGATGTCAAATTAATAAATGATGAACTAAGATGAAGAGGCAGGGCCAGAAACTCTACTTGAAACCAACAGATAGTAGGAAATAACAAAGAGAGAGCTCCTACCTAATGTTTTGTTTTCCCTGATAATGCTCATAAGCTACCATTTGAAAATGGTGGGAAGAATAGTTAAATATATATGAATCCAAAAAAGAATATAGGAGCATACAGAATAGTCGGTGATGACCCAAGTGAGTTCCCATTTTCTGCCTTGGGCTAAAAATGTCCTGGAGTACCAAGAGACATGCACCGAAAACCAGTGAACATGGGATTTGAAAAATTATGGAAAATGGAAATGATGCTAGAAGAATAAAACAAAAAATGGGAAAATATTATGATTTAAAAAAAATAAGCAAGGCATTCTCCAAACTGTAGATGTTACTATGGATTATTAACGGAGGAAGGGGAAGTGGGTATATGTTGAAGCAGTAATCATTAAGTGATAGCATGGCTTTACTATGTACAACAAACTTCTCTCTCTCTCTCTCTCGATATACACAGACACACAGACACATAGCAACTCAGAACTAGCATCAATCTTATGACCAAGAGCAATAAGATATAAAAACCAGATTATTTAAGTGGACTTTATCAAGTTGAATGTCACCAATTCATGAATCAGTGTTAAATTTGGGAGGAGGCCTTTCTGGCAGGTCCTTCTTTGGACTCAGCTGTGATCTATTTGACAGTTTCATCGGTAACTTACTGAAGGAACGGCAACTCTGTTAAATGGAAGATCAGGATTCCCCAAATCCAGGTAGTCTGCAGAGATTACGTTAATCCCCAAACTATAATTTAAAGTGACAATTTGTAAAACTTTGCTCCAGGGATCAAAAAGACAGTTAAAAGTGCCAGGTTGGGAAGACACGGTTTAGCAATGGCAGGATGTATGAAAAAGACCTAGCAGATATTTGGACAGTAAACACATTATGATCCAATAATATGCACGGGCATAGTAAAAGCTGAATTGACACTGACAAGTATACAGCTGTGGATCTAGCCTACTCTACTCTGTTCACCTGAAGAATTATCTTTATTTCAGAGTAATGTAAGTGGGCTATAAACAAATTGTAACCCATTCATAAAAGAATATCTAGGTTGGTGGACAGCTTCAAACACATAGCAAATTATGATGTAAAAAGTTGCAAGATAATGCTGTTCTCGTTGCAGCAATGGGAAAACCCAGAAACTTGTGATCCGGATATAAGAATTGAGTTCATAAAGCAACCTAAACTGAATTCCAAGGAGAGACAGGAGACAACCTTTGGCACAGCATGGGAGGAAGAAGTGGCCTCCATACAAGTAGGTAAGAGGAAATCAGCTGAAAGTTGATTGGATTCTTAAGGACCACACTTGGACTCGGGTGTTGGCTTACAATGGCTGAAAGTCCAAAAAAAAAAAAAAAGGAGAGTTCAATATTAATATCCGGGCTCTTGGTAAGATGTGAGAACAGGGAAGGAAAGTGGTAAGAACCCTTCTCAGTGGTGCTGGTGAGCAAGAAATGATCAGCTGCTGTGGGGGGCAGGCATGAAATGTTCCCCATTATCTTGAATCTTTCTTGAATCTTTCTTTTATTAAAAGTATAATCCTAGGGCGCCTGGGTGGCTCAGTTGGTTAAGCATCCAACTTCAGCTTAGGTCGGGATCTCACAGTTCATGAGCTCAAGCCCCATGTCAGGCTCTTTGCTGACAGCTCAGAGCCCAGAGCCTCCTTCAGGCTCTGTGTATCCCTCTGTCTATTTCTCCCCCAACTTGTGTTCTCTCTCTCAATCTCTCTCTCTCTCTCTCTCAAGAATAAATAAATATACATTAAAAATATATATATAATCTTTACGCTGCTGAGGGGAGAAATGTACCTTAACATATTTAGGAATAAAGATAAAATAACATGCAACCCAGAAGACAGGAAAGTAACATATTTAATGTACTAAAGAAAAAACAAACCAAAAAAAATGGTCAACCCAGAATCCTTTACCCCATGAAAACATCTTTCAAAAATGAAATCACAGTAAGCATTTTGTTAGACAAACACAAGCTGTAAAAATGTATTATTGAAGCCCAAAGCAACAATGACAAAATAAAAAATGTTAAAACAGGGTCTTCAGAAAAAAGTATGAGACCAGATGAAAAATCTGAATATTTACAAAGTACCAGAACTCCAGAAAAGATAAAAATGAAGGTGAATACTAAAGATATGTTTCTTATTTTGAATCACTTCTAAAGATAATTGAAGGCCTAACCAACAGGTATGTGGGTTGCAGGGTTTATACCAAAAACTCCATGGCCACGGGAGTACAAAGGCTGGGAAGAGAAAATGGATGTACACTGGTGTAGGGTTCTCACACTACAGGCCATGCCCTATATTATTATTTTAAGGTGGACTGTAATCAGTAAATGATGTATAATGTAACCCTTAAGAATCCTCCACATAAAGTATTATAAACAAGAGTGAAGATAAGGTGGAATCATAAAAATAACAGCAAAGCAATAGAAAAGAAGGCAGGAAAAGATGAACAAAGAAAAACTGAACAAGTTAGATGAGAAGAAAACAACTGGTGAGATGGTAGATATGAAGCCAATCACATCAACAATTATATTAAATGTAAGCAGCATGAACACTCCAATTGCAAAAGGTAGACTGAATATATAGTAAATGGACTCTTAAAAGCAAGATCCAATGGCATAATGTGTGTAAGAAATCCACTTTAAGTAAAAAGGCATAGCTAGATTAAAGTAAATGGATGCAAATACTAATGAAAAGAAAGCTTGAATGACTGTATCATTACCAGGCAAAGTAGATTTCAGGTAAAGGGATACTACAGTTCAGAGGAGTACTTTATAATTATAAAGGGTCATTTCCTTAAGAAGGCACAATGATCCTGAGTGTGTGTGCACAGAACAACAGAGGCTCAAAATATATGAAACAAATCTAATAGAATTACAAGGGGAAATCAAGAAATCCACAGTTTAGATAGAAATGTCAACACTCCACTCTCAGTTAAGTACATAGGAAACCACTAAGGATACAGAAGATTTGAATACAATCTACCAAACTGACCTAATTGGCATTTAAAGAACACACAATCCAGTAACTACATATAGATTGAAGTGCACACGAATCTTTTGCCACCATAGAACATACTTTGTATCATAAAACAGATCTCAACAAACTTAAAATGACTGAAATCACACAAAGTTTATTTCCTAATGACATTGGAATTAAACTAGACATCAATCACTGAAAGAACATGGAAAATCCCAGTATCTTTACAAATAGGAAAAATAAGGAAATAATTAGAAACAACACATGGGAAATCACGAGCAAAATTAAAAAAAAATGGAATTGATAAATGAAAATGCCCAAATAAAAACTCATGAGATACAAAGAAAGTACAACTTAAGAGTTGTTTATACCATGAAATGCTTAAAAAAGAAAAAGGAAAGCAAATAAAACTCCAAGGAAGCGGAAGGAAGGAAGGAAGGAAGGAAGGAAGGAAGGAAGGAAGGGAGGAAAGAAAGAAGAAAGAAAGAAAGAAAGAAAGAAAGAAAGAAAGAAAGAAAGAAAGAAAGAAAGAAAGAAAGGAAGGAAGGAAGGAAGAAAGGAAGAAAGAAAAAGAAAGAAGAAAGAGGGAAGGAGGGAAGGAGGGAAGGAGGGAAGGAAGGAAGGAAGGAAGGAAGGAAGGAAGGAAGGAAGGAAGGAAGGAAGGAAGGAAGGAAGGAGAAAAGCGCAGGAGCCAATAAAGAAATCATTTTGAAATGGAAAAATAATAACAAAAATGACAAAATCCGGTCTTTTGTGAAGATAAAAGAAATAATAAACTTTTAGCCAGACTGTTATGAAGAAACAGGGGCAGGAGAGAGAGAATATGAAACAATTACTAATACCAGGAATGAAAGAGGAGCCATCATTACAGATATTAGAGATATTAGAGACCTGAGAGAATAGTAAGATGACATTCTGAAAATCTTTGGGCCAATAATTTTGATAAAATAAATGAATGGACTAATTCCTTGAGAGACATGAATTACCAAATTTCATTCAAGAAAAAAATAACCTGAACAGCCATTTAACCATTAAACTAAATTCACAGTTAAAAGATGTTTCCACAAAGAAAACTGCAGGTCCAGAATACTTCATAAGTGACACTCACCAAACATTTAAAAAAAAAGAAAGAATGCCAACTCCACACAAGCTCTTCCAGAAAACATAAGATAAAAGAATACTTCCCAACTCATGTTAGGAGATCTGCATTACCTTCTAATCGAAATGAGAAAAAGCTATTTCAAGACAAGAAAAATAACAGACCAATATCCCTCATGAACATGGATAAAAAAATAATCCTTAACAAAAATAGCAAATTAAATCCAGCAAGATGTAAACTGGACAACATCATGTGCAAGTGGTTTCTCCCCCTGAAATGGAAAGTGGGCTCAATACTCAAGAAGTGCTTAATTTGGGGTATCTGGGTGGCTCAGTTGGGTAAGTGTCTGAGCCTTGATTTCTGCTTAGGTCATGATCTTATAGTCGTGAGTTCAAGCCCCACATGAGGCTCTTCAATGACAGCATGGAGCCTGCTTGGGATTCTTTCTCTCCCTCTCTGTCCCTCCCCTACTTACTCTCAAAAGATGACCAACAGAGGCAAAAAAAAAAAAAAAAAAAGGAATTGGGCAAAATCAAACATCTATTTATAGTAAAAACTCTCAGCAAACTAGGATCAAAAAGAAACTTCTTCAACCTGATAAAGGATGTCTACCAAAAAACCTCTCCAACTAACAATATACTTAATGGTGAAAGACTGAGTGCTTTTCCCCCCACTAAGATTGGCAAAGATGTATGCTGTCACCACTTCTGTTCAGTATTGTATAGGAGTCCTAGCTGATGCAGTAATGCAAGGCAAACAAACAGAATATACAGAAACTAGAAAGAAAGAACTAAAACTGCCTTATTTGCAGATCTTCTACATATGAAATCCCAAACATCTTACAAAAATGGTACTAATAAGTTACATTAGCGAGGTCACAGGATACAAGTCAATTAATAAAAATCAGTTGTATTTCTATATGCTAGCAATTAACATTTAGAATTTGAAATTGTATTTGTGTCATCCTAAAACCAGCAGGTGAGAGGTAGAAATAAATGATGACTTTCTCAATATAAAAGATTGCTTCTTAACAGTCAGATATATGGAGAACTTACATGGATTATCCAGCAGTTTTAAGAAACTATAGGTGTTCCCCACTGGAATGGCAAACTGTGTCAAGGGAATCTGAAGTGAAAGAGGCAAGATCCTTAACCTTACAAAGCCTTAATGTGTTACAGGAAATGCCACAAAAATAAAAGAAAATGAAACCAGAAGCATTTAAAAATTGTTAGACTCCAACTTCTATAGAATGGGCAGATGTGTGCTGCACACTTAGGATTATGTAAAGAGCCTGCATGCACTATCAAGTTACAGGTATCACCAGGGGCGCCTGGGTGGCTCAGTCAGTTAAGCGTCCGGCTTGGGCTCAAGTCATGATGTCGCGGTTCATGGGTTCAAGCCCCGTGTCAGGCTCTGTGCTGACAGCTAGCTCAGAGCCTGGAGCCTGTTTCGGATTCTGTGTCTCCTTCTCTCTCTGACCCTCCCCTGCTTGCGCTGTCTCTCTCTCTCTCTCTCTCAGAAATAAACAAAAAACATTAAAAAAAAGTTACAGGTACACACCCAACTCGACTGTGTCATCAATATGATTTCAAGTTAATGTGTGGGCAGTATTAAACATTAAATTAACAATAAAGTTGTTTACCTCCTTATAATGAATGGGACTTTGGAGAGATAAACTGGATGGCTGTGCTTCACTTGGGAAATCTACAAAGACATCTTGAGCAGGTACCCTTTTCCTCCTAATTAATTTCTCTTCTACAAGTCCCCATATTCAAGTACTTTCCACTGAACTTTGATCTGCTTCAGTGACTGGTAGTAATGACAATCACTCAGTTTCTTTGTGAAAAAGTAAACACTGGAAAACAAAGGAATAGGAAATTTACTCTTCAAAGGCGATGGGATGGGAAGATTCAAAATGATTCTATCAGAGCTTGGACCAGGATGGAGAATCCCTGGCACCTGCTGATGGAAATGTGGCTCCTTCCCCAGGGAGTTAAAAAATCTCCCAGTATCTCCTTGACAACATAAGCACGATTAACAAATTAGTGAGTATCTTCTACAATGTGAACTTTTAAAATAAAATATACTTATATATATAATCTTTTATATTGAGATAAAATTGTAACTTGACATTTTCATTTAACAGAATATCAAGAACAGTTTCTATTCCAAAGAAACTGGTGATAAACCTCTTTATTTATAATTATGTGTGTTTATGTTTATCATACAGATCAAGTGTTTTTATTTGTTTTTGGATAAATCTCTGTGAATGAAACTAATAGATCAATTAGTGTCCATATTTTAATTGTACAAAGTATTGCCAGGTCACAAGGCTTCACGCCTACCCATTCCTACTGACAGAGTATAAGAATAAATATGTTCCTGCATTCATTCAAGCCCTGAATCCTAATTTTAAGTTTTAGTAAATATGATGGTTGCAATGTGATTTTATTACTGCTTCCCTAATTATCCAGGTGGTTATGTACCTTTTTATTTGCATTTTTTTCTTTAATAGATTGCCTGTTCATATCACTTGCATATTTTTTTTGTCTTCAGTTGTTTTGATCCTTTCTTATTTGGGTTGTGATTACTCTTTTCAAGTCTAGCATTTGTCTTTCGACCTTTTATGGGGGTGACTCATTCAGAATTCTTAGTTGCAAATACAACTCTCTCCTATTAGCTTAAGCAGAAAAGGAATTTATTAAAGGGTATTAGATGGATCACAGAAGTTCCAAGAAGAAATCAACAACTGATCTCTGAAGCCACAGAGCTAGGGGAAATGTCCAAGTAAACTGCTGCATTGTTCCACTGGGAACTAGGAGATTTCCCAACCCCTAGGACGCAGGAGGTCACTGCCATTGCTTTTTGTAACAGTGAAGTGTTTCTCTGTCACTCTCAACATAATTAGTTCCATGAGCCACCTTCTTCTTCACATCACACTCTTCTGAACCAGAATTTAGAATGAATGGGTCCATCTTGGTCATGAGGCTGAAGTCCCAACACTAGCTGCAAGGCAGACTGGGAAAGTGGATTTCTGCTTCTACCTTAGGAAGGCAGAATTTATAAATGGGATAATTCCCCAAACATCTGAATGACATTCAAAAATTGTTGGCAAGTCAGCGAACATTTAAAATGTCCATTATATGAAGTCCTTGCCTTTCATATGTTTTTAAATTTCATGAAATAAAGTATGTCATTTTTTTCTTTCTAGTTTTATGGTTTTGATGGGGATTTTTTCTATTTTTATGGTTCTGGTTAAAAAAAAAATCATCACATGATGATTACACAAATATTCTTTTGGAATGTCTTCCAAGACTCCTGCAGTCTTACTCTTTAGCATTCATATTTTTCATTCATCTGTAGTTTGTTATACAATAAAATATGAATACAATTTTATTCTCTCACGAAGGCACAGCCATTCTTCCATTTTCATTAACTGAATAATATAATTCATTCACTGACTCATAATGCCATCTTTAATTACATGTTAAATGATCTTTATGTGCCCTATAGAATTGTTTGTTGTGGGCCAATACTATACTGTTTAAAGTAGCTTTATATTAGGTTATCATATCTAGTAAGGCAAGCTGCTTTGCTGTCGCTCCATTTCAAAATTCTCTTGGCAATTTTTACATGTTTCTTCTTCCATATACACTTTAGAATCACATATGTGGTTCAAAAGAGAGAAAAAAATGAATTCTGATTGTAACTGCATGAAATCTATATGTTAATTTCAATAGAAGTAATATTTTTATGATTTTAAGTCTTCCTATCCAGACCATGGTCTGTCTTTCCATTTATTTGGATTTTGTTTTATACCCTTCAATATAATTTTATAGGTCACTTCATAGAATCTTTTTCATTAAATTCATTCTTAGGTATTTCATGGCTTCCTTTCCCCCATGTGATTATGAATGGGATCTTTCTCATTTCCATTTTTATAATGTCAATTTAGGCTATTTTCCTAACTGCATCTGACTCTACCATATTTAATACTTAGTGTCTACTCTTCAGATAAGTAACTCCTAGAGTGCTCTACATTGATCACTTAATCTCTTTATAGAAAATGAATTTGATGGGACACAAAACAGTTTCCTAATTAAAGTCGTTTCATACACTAGATTTATTACTTTTCAAACTGACACATCTTTTAGATAGTCACTGTCTAGACTCTATAGTTCTTTGTTTTTTACTATAATAATAACTATATGCATGCATGTGCGTCCTTATGGTTCACCAGTGTTATCTTGCAATTTGACATGTTCATAAATTACTTTGATTCCAATGAACCTACGCATTCACAAGTCAAATCTTCAGCAAACATTGTGACATTATCCGTTCTCTACATACAACCTATACTTCCAGTGTCTCCTGTAAATACGAAGCTAAAATTTCCAACTGGTTGCAAAATAAGGGGTAAGCACAGAAAGAAGTTTGTTTTTGTTTTCCTATAAAATGCTCATAGTATTCTGAACAAAATAATTTACTCAAAAATAATTCTGATCCTACGCACAAAAGTGATCAAGTTTGGGGGCTCCACCAGCACTAAGTTCTGTGATGGGAACATGCTTTGTAGAGCAGGACACTCAGACACATTAGGAGTAGCCACTGCAGCACTGAACTAGGTCAAATGATTCAAGTTTTGGTCAAGGCTTCGCAAAGATGATCAGGTCTTGTAAGTCATTTATCTTCTCGGTCCTGCATCTATAAAATGAGTGAGTTCATCTAACAGGCACTGAGGTCTCTCTCACTTTTCATGTTCCCAAACTCCAAGTTTCTAAAGTGGACTCTCTTGCTCTTCCAAGACCATGGGAAATGGTTGATATGTCCGAACCCATGGAAACCTATTTCGGGCACATCGGAACCACAACTTTCAGGCCAACTGATCAGCCGTACTTTGTTTATCAAGACATTTTGCTGTAGCCTAGACCTTGGCTTGATTATATCACCGCATATATGGGAGTGCAGACTAATTCAGTCAAATGTTATATTCCTATTTCAGTTCCGATACCACAGAAAGAAATACAGCTTCTGCTTATTTCCACACCTTGGGCTGGCTGACACAGGATGTTTACATTTAACTTGGATGAAAATGTGTGCTGACATCAGTAACATCTTAACATGGCCACACCAGGAACATGAGTGTTTCTGAAGCGAAGCACTCTACATATGCCATGACAAATTAGCCATATCCCAGTTTACAGTAAGATCCATTTGAACCACATTCTCAGAAATTTGCTAGCATGTAAATAGTATGCAAACATAAAACTGAATATATACAATTTTCAACATGTAGTTTATAGTCTAGAGACTTATAATTATAGAACCCACATGTGTATATCTAAATAAAGTAAGGCTTATGGCAGATTCCTATTCCATAATTTTTTTAAAAATCTCAGATGAAATGTTAATGCCTACCCTTTCAAAATTTATCCAATACACACAGAGAAAAACCACCAAAAATCTTGGACAATGTCTCTGGTAGTTCAGTGTTTCAAGGGGCCAAAGCAGGCATCTGTTTTTCTAATCAGGAAGTTTTCTGTTTCAGAGATTAAAGCTTTGGGGAATAGTTAGAGGTCTGGAATCCTTTAAATAACCTTGAATCCTTCAGGTATTAAATTCAAGACAAAAATGAGCCATAAGTAATAGACATCAAGGATATTAAAATAGAGAGGTGGCTACCGAATATGAATCCGGCATTCAAACTGTAAGAGAGTCTGTGGCTGGAAGTTAAGTCGATTGCTAAAGAATGCTTTGTCGTTCTTGTTTTATAAATTTCCCTCATGAACAGAAGTAAGTGGCAGATGATCCTCTTTTCATCTTGTCCTTGCACAAACGGATTCCCAGGCTCCTTTCTCATGGATATCAATAAGCCTAATTAAGGACCCTACCATTTATACACCCATATAACCATCTGTGATTTGCCAGTTTCATCTGGCCTGATTTGGAGAATCATTCAGGGGTATTCCAAGGAGTTACAGACCCTTGCCCTAGAGTAAAAATAAACCTTTCTCTAAGAAATCATCGGTTCCACCGTCTGTGGAAACGAAAGCCAGTTTACTTAAGGCTAATTAGTTCACTGTTTGGTGTATTTGACCCAAATGAAGTAGAAGACATTTGCATGACCATAAACCTCATTTTCATGTGCTGACAGGTTCACTGCTGCTAAATGATGTTTATTGGTTCTCCAAGTTTGAGTCAAAGTCATTCATGTTTTCAATAAATGGGCAAGTTTCTGTAAATAAATACCACACCGAGGAAAACTGAAATCAGTTTGGTCATGCATCAGGAAAACTAAAGGTACATGTAATTTCTGGTAGCTTCTGTGCAGAACTCCCCAAAAGGAAATGATGATATCACAGTAGATTAATACAATGAGGGCAAATGGATAAAGCAAGTCTTTTTTATTCCATTAACTTTTTCCATTACAGGTGACATTTTGGAGAAACTGAAACTGCTTTACATTTCATCTTGCTCTTTTTATTGGCCAAGAGCTTTCATGGCATATCTTCTTTAATTTTAACACTGTTCCTCAAGTACTTGAGTAGTTTTACAACACACTGTACCAGATGGATGAAAGGCAAAGTTACGTGGTAAATTTTGATAAGTTTTCCATCCTGGAATATAATTCCTATCAGGGAAATCAGGCCCGTAGGTCAGCTACAAGCCCTTTAACAACTGAGTCTGAATAAATGTTATCAGCAATTCCAGATAAGCTGGGATTTAAATAAAATCTTAAGGCATTTCTTTCCTGTGGGTAATAATACAAACTTCCAAATAGAGAATGAAGTAGGGCTATAAAATTGCCCATGATGCAGGAGGCTGAGGTGTTGGCCTGTGGCTTGAGTAAAATTCTTTCTACTCCAGGAAGTATGATGGACAGAAGGAGAAAAGATGAGCCCAGAGGGAGGCAGAAGCCACATTCATGTAACTACACATTCGTGTAGTTAGCACTGGTCTCTAAGTATGGCTGTATCTACAGCTGGAAAAATGCCCATTGGAGAGATGCAAAATCCCTTAACCATCAAGGCAATCACTGCTTCCTAGAAACAGTCCTACATTTAGATCACGTAGGAAAAACTTGCCACCTGAAGGAGACGGGTTAACACTTTTTACCCAAACCTTTGCTGATGGATGAGTACTTTATATCCTAATAAACAACATCAGAGAAAAGTCCAAAGTGAGAGAGGAGAGACTGTTACCAACAAGGAATGAATGAGTGAAAACAGAAGCGCAGGTACAGGCATGGGGACTGAGATGGACAGAGCCATGTGTAAAAACAAACGAAAGCTTTGTCGATAAGTCAGATGTGAAAAGAAGATACACTGGCATTTATATTTCAGATTGATAGAAGAGAAAGAACACATGCATACAGATGAGGAAAAACCGAGGCAAAAGTAGCCTAGGAACCATTAAGGAAAATAAAGCAAATATAGAATTTCATTTCTAATAAATCATAAAATAAAAAATCCAGGTCTATATTAGGTCTTGAGTATCAGATATCAAAGAAAATATAAGTTGTAGAGACTTTCATCTTCCCCTATTTAAAGACCTATTGCATTTCAGCACGAACTGGCCAAAAGGAATATTATGGCAACATGTTCTTAAATTTTGCCCAGTCATATTATAGACAGGAACTCATCAAATTTCAGGGGTCAGTGTCAGGTAAAGGGTTAGCAACTAATGAGGAGCAAGTCTGGGGATGAGGTAAGCGATGAGAGCATCAGGTTCAGCCAATGAAATGGTGTGCAGTCTGGCAAACGTTAATTTAGGGTGCAAGGCCAAAGCACACTATTCTGCAGGTGTGTGGTCATCGCTGACAAGGGCGAGATGTGAAATATCTGGGCAGCCCAATGGAGGGACAAAGCGCAGCTAGGGAGAAGCCGGGGTAGGCAATACTCAGAAGCAGACAGTAGGAGCAAAATGGGTGAGAATGTATCAGACCATTAAACTGGACAGGCTGAAGCAGGCCCTATATTTTCAGGTACCACGCACAATGCTGAGATAGGGTCTCACACGTGGGAAGTCTATTTCCTAGAAATAAGAGGCCAGGTAGAAAGAAAATTACAGTCCACATTTTTCATTAGTAGGGTACGTGAACACTTCTTTTGGGGTTAAGTGAGCTTTTATTTACCTTTATTGAGGCATAACTAATATACAATAAAAAGCACATATTAATGTGTCTAGGGTGATAAGATGTAGCATAGGTATAAACCAGGTAAACCATGTCCACACTCAAGTAAATGGACAAAACCATCACCTGCCAGAGGTTTCCTTGTGCCCCTGTGTAACCTCTACTCTCCCTACCCCTCAATGTCCCTCAGTAATCAATGATCTGCTTTTGGTCACTAAGATTAGTCTGCGTTCTCCAGAACTTTATAGAGTCATATTGTATGCTTTTCTCTGGGTTCTTTCTCTCAGCATGATTATTTTGAGACCCATCTCTGTTGATGCATGTATAAACAGAAAAAAAAATTTATTCCTGAATAGTACTCCATGGTATGGATATTTCAGTTTGTTTGCCCAGTGAACTACTGATGAACATGTGAGTTATTTCCAGTTCTAACGTATTATAAATAAAGCTACTATGAACATCTGTGTACAAATCTTTGTATGAAACACGTACTTTGTTTCTTTGAGGTAAGCATTTAAGAGTGGTATGACTGGATCGTACGGTTGGTGTAACTTTTTTAAAAACTGAATTTTTTTTAATTGAGTATATAGCATTTTACATTCCCTCCAGTTGTTAATGAGAGTTCTGCTTACTCCCCATCCTCACCAATACTTCATACGTTCAGTCTTTTTCATCGTTTAATTGTAGCCATTCCAGTTGGTCTGTAGCAGTGTCTCACTGTGGCTTTAACTAGTATTTCCCCCATGACTAATGCTTTGGAGCTTTCCTCATGTATTTTTTTGGCATTCATATATCTTCTTCCATGAAGTCTCTGTTCAAATATTTTGCCCATTTTTTATTGGACGTGTGGTCTTTTTATTATTGAATTATAAGAATTCTTCACATATTCTGGAATCAAGTTCTAATCACACTGATGCATTGCAAATATCTTTCTCTAGCCTGTGACCTGCCTTTTTCCTGCCCTCTTTTCCTTAAAAGTGTCTTCTGAAAAGCAAAATGTTTTAAGATTAATGAAGTTCAATTCATTGATCTTTTTCTTTTATCATTTGGACTTTTTATGCCTAATTTAATAAGTCTTGGTGAACTCAAAGTCACTAAGATTTTCTCCTATGCTCTCCTGTAGAAGATTTGTTTATTTGTTTGTTGTTGTTGGTCTTAGTTCTTACATTTTTTGGAATAAAATCCATCTTGAGTTATTTTTTGGTACATAGTGCAAAGTATGGACTGGGAACACGTTTCTTGCACATATAATCCAATTGTTGCAGCACCATTTGTTGTAAAGATTATCCTTTCCCCACTGAATTCACTTGGCACATGTGTCAAAAATCAATTCTATAAGTCTATTTCCGGACTCTATCCTTTTCTACTGATCTATTATTTGTCTGTCTTTGGATTAATGCACATTGTCATGTTTCCTGTGGCTTTATAGTCTTGGGATCAGGTAGCACTCCACTCTAATGACTGGGTACAAGGTCAGAACCAGATAAAAATAGGTCATTAGGTGAAGAGGCCCAGCGAACTCTATTGGAGCTCTTCCATCTTTCCTGCCCAAGACAGGACTGGCCTTGGAGACCAAGTAAAACTAACGTCACAGGGAGGAACAAAGCAGTCCCAACCACAAAGTGGAAGCAGCAGACAGAAGCTTACAAAGGACCAGGTAGGACCTATAATACTTAACCTCAGACTCTTAGCCATAGATTGACAGGATATTGGAATAATCAATTCAGCATCTTTTTTTCTCATTCAGTCCTCTCTCAACGACACATGAGCAGTGTCCTATAGTTATATCTTTGTGAGACAAATATCTAAAAAGCCAAGCATGATAATCCCTTTAGGAGAGCTGGGACAGGATTAATCAGATGATTTAGAGTTAACTCGCCAAAATGTAACAGGTTCATTTCTTCCTTTTTATTCTCAGGATCTCATAGCATAAATTTTCTTTAGCTATTCTACTGTTCCTTAGGTCAAGCCATAGCTTTTATAACTATAAAACTGGACCACTAACATGTTAATGGTTGACCACTCATTCTCAACCAATGAGAAAGACCTGATAGATTTCCAATGTCAACTGCAACAACAACAGAAAATATGTATATCAAGGAAGGAAATAAAAATATGGCCATTTTTCTAAAAGCATAAGAACAAATCTGGCTCCAAAAAAGTTGAAATTGACTTGGCTGGGACTCCGATGAGCACAGTCTGAGACAATAAAACAGTTACAGAGTCTGAGTTCAAGTGGTCATTTCTCCATGGTTTCCGGGGGAAGATCATTTCAGCTGGAGTTCATCATTCAATAGAAGTCTTCAACCGGGCATATGGCTAGAGGATGGAGACATGGAAAATTACTGTGGCTAAGAGAACCCGAATGGAAAAACAAGCTTCACACAAGTACATGTGGAAGTTGGTAACAGAGACCTTATCTTGCAGGAATGTGGCCACTTCAATTGGCCAGGTTCGAGCCATCCTGGGGCTTGATCCACTTGGCTCTGTGAATACTGAACAGTTGAACTGAGCTTTAGTTCAGACAGGAGGAAAACGATCACCACAGGAATGTTCCAGAGATTTTAAAATGCAGAAATAGCCATTTTACTAGAGGAGAAAATCCTTTACAGAAAGCCTAAAGCCAGAGTTTGGTGTCTTCTCACGTATGTCTAGTCATAGATCTCTTCATGCTCCACATCTCGAAACATTTTATACACGTCCTTTCATTAGTATTAAACATGTAAACTTCGGTGATCAGCAGGTGCCTTTACTCCCAATCCAGATGTAAAAAACAAACAAAACAAAAGAAAGCAAAAAAAAACACCACAAAATCCACACCAAAGAAACCCCACAAGGCACTATGTTTAAGAAACCACAGAGGATCCTACAGAAACAACATCAATTCTTGGGTCACTTAAATATTAGTGAAAACACACTTCAGTGTACATTGTAGTCACATCAATAGTTGATACATTCAAGGCAAACTAAATTCAGTAGCCAAGAGTATGCATTTGAATTGAATATGCATTTGAAAAGCGGCCATTCATTCTATCCACTTCAAGTTCATGTTTCCTTTATTAAGGTTTTCATTTACAATGTGTGGTGGGGGCAAGCACATTTATCACGTGTCACTGCGCTGGTATTTTCATATTTTCAGCATTCGCTCTCACCTCCAGGGTTGAAAAGAGGCAGCCTGAGAGAGTAGAAACTATAGACATTCTGGTTTCTAATTCTGATCCAGACACTCCCAGCTGTGTGAGCTCGGGTAAAGTACTCCCACTTCTGATCCTAAGTGGATCAGAATCATGGGTTCTAACATTTCAGAAGTTATTTATCTGCAAAATGGAGGTACTATTGTCTGCTTGGGTTGTGGCAAAGATGAAATATGACCTTAATACAGCATTCAGGGGATGCCAAGATATTCCAATAAATGTCAGTGCTCCTCTACTCCCTCTTAAGCTATCCCTGGTACCAAATATATTTGATTAAAAGTGTTTTTCTTTTGGGAACTCTTATTGTTGCCGACTAAAAAACACTGAGAAGGAGTAAGGAGGAAAGGGTAAACTATGTTCACTCATTATCTTCGTCCCCGGATTCTT